CCAGGCAGCAGGAACAACAGCTGCAAAGGCCGTGAAGTGGGAACTTGCCTTTCACACTTAGGGAATAGAGGGAGACCAGCACAGATGAAGTAGAGCTGGCGAGGGGGATAGTGGGGTGGGGGTGAGGTCTGACAGGTGGCAGGTGCTGGGCTGCAAACAGCCTGGATACCGTTGAAGAACACGGGCTTTTACTCCATGTGGGAAGGAGGGACTTGAGCAGGCCTTGGAGCAGGCTCTGCCTCAGGCTGGGCAGGGCCATCCACAGGTGGGATAAAAAAGGCCACAGCTTGGGTGAGGGGAGTCAGGGAGAACACTGAGACCTGAAGAAGCTGCTGGGGTAACTGGGCTTGGACCTCGGTGATGGGAGTGGGAGGGCCGAGAGGTGAGAAGATTCTGAGATGATCTTGGAGACTGAGCCAACAGGATGCCCTGAGGGATGGGAGGGGAGGGGAGGGAGAAAGAGAGGCACAGGAATGAGTCCCAGCTTTCGGCCTGGGCAGCTGGCAGGATGGAGCCGCAGCTGAGATGGGGAAGGCTGCTGGTGAGGCAGGAGTTTGGGGGAGGTCAGGAGTCCAGCTTTGGACAAGCTGAGGATGAAGATGTCCCTTTAGACACCAGGCAGAAATGTTGAGTAGAGAGGTGGCTACAGGAGTCTAGAGTCTTCCCTGAGGAGTGGCCCAGGCAGAAAATGTAAAGCTAGGAGTTGTCAGCATATAGGTAGTGTCCAAACCAGGAGGCTAGATGGGACCACCATGGGAATGAGAATGAGGAGAGGAGAGACAAGAGCTGAGCCCTGGGGCCCTCCAATGCTAAGAGGTGCAGGAGGAACCAAAAGAGAGGCTGGAAAGGGGAGGGTGGTATCCTGGAGGAGAAAAAGATCAACCAATTGAAGGCCACAAGGTCTGGGAAGAAACGATGGGATTTAGCAACACAGAGGCTGTTGGTGATCTTGACATCAGCAAGGCTGGTGGGGCATTTCAAGTAGATTCAGGGCCAGGCACGGTGGCTCACGCCTGTAATCCTAGCACTTTGGGAGGCTGAGGCAGGAGAATCACTGGAACTCAGGAGGCGGAGGCTGCAGTGAGCCAAGATTGCGCCACTGCACTCCAGCCTGGGTGACAGAGTGAGACACCATCTCAAAAAAAAAAAAAGTAGATTCAGGTGGTAAGTGGGAGACGGCACCTCTGCAGCACCTGTCCCTCATGCTAAAGGTGTCATGTGACCATTCAGGGCTGATAACCAGGGCCAAGGTGTGGGTGAGGCCAACCAGCCTGACCAGGGACTGAGCTGCTGATCTGCCCTCGCGCCACTCCACCCATTCCAGGCTCTGCTGCCAACACCTGATGTTCACATCTGGAGCAAGACATGCAGGGACGCGGGGCCCTGTCTGGGGAAGCAGGGCGATGTGAACAGACCAGGAGAAGGCAGCACTAGTTAATGACTTCATTTGGCTTCTGTCTTCTCCGGCTGGTAGACGGTCTTCAAAAAGAACATTACACAGAGGGAATTGGAGCCTGAGATAGGTGAGGAGATAGCAGTGAACACGCAGTGTCTGTGAGGGATTTCAGATGGCCATGCTGTGCCCTCCGATTCTGCTCCCAGGCCACTGGCCCCCTGATGGAACGCAGGCAAGAGCATATAAAACGACAAGGCTCAGAAGGTTGGGGGTGGCTAAAAGTCTCAGTCTCTAACGCAGGAGAACACATTCACAGAAGCTACACACAGATAGACCCTGTAGCCCAACTCTACCTCTGATTCTTAAAAGGAACTTTTTAAATGAATTAATGCATAAAAACACTTAGGACACTGCCTTGAACAGTCAATAAATGCTGTTGTTATAATAATTTATGTTATGTGTATATATAGTATGTCGTATATGTTATATTATCATTTTTAATCTATGAGGCTCCAGCAATCAGAATTAGACCCAATGGGTAGTTCCAGGGAGGCAGGTTTCCTGTTACTCTTAGGAAGAATTTTTTCTTCCTGGAACCGTCCCACAGCACAGAGTGAGCTGCCTCGTAGGCCCATGAACTGACCATCACTGGGTGTCTAAAGAGAAACCAGGTAATGACGCCTCGAGCTGGAAGTTCGATCTGCCTACAACTCTGACCTCTGGTGAGCTGACACGTTCAGCCTGGGTTGGGCTCTGCCTCTTGCCCTGGCACTGAGCACCACCCTGGATCCAGCTTATCTGTGTGTTTGTCCGCCCTGAAAGCCCATGGCTGGTAGGACAGCCCAACCCGCCATCCCTGGGCCACACACGGGCCTCCCTTTAGTAACAACGAAACATTCCCAGGTTGGAAGCTTTGGAGGCAGTGGTATTGTGTGTAAACTTCCCAACAATCCAGTGAGGGGACTATCCCATCCCCATTTTGGAGACTGGAACTCTGAGTCAAAGAGTGAATGGTTCGTGAGAGCCAAGTCTTAAAGTTAAGTCTCTAGACCACCCCACTCCCCATGGCAGGCAAAAGGCCAGTCCCCTGGACAAGCTGTTTCAACCTCCCCCTCTCCCTAGCCTGCTGGTGGGAGGCCTGCACCCATGAAGCCCACCACGTCCATGTGAGTCCATACCCACCATCTGCTTGGCCCAGGGCCAAGTGGGTGCCAACACCCAGCAGACGGCTCCAGGCTGGTCTCCTCTGAGGACCTGGAAACAACTGGGGCCAGCCAGGCTACCCCAGCCAAAGTCCACTGGGTTTATCTTTCCAATGCCCACTCATTGTTGAAATGAGGAGATAGAGGCCCAGAGAGGTGCAGTGCTGTGCCCAAGGTCACACAGCGAGAAACAGATGTTGGGCTCCTAACTTTCAGGTGAAAGCTGTGCTGCTCCCATACTGATGCAAAAGGAAGGGAAGAGGCTGGGAGGGCGCTGAGCCAGCTCCGCACCCACCCCCTGCCTAGAGAGATGAGCACAGCTATCTTCCAGCTCACTGAGCCCCCTCTCAATCCTATGGCACCCTGGAGTCAGGGATCAATCCCCACGCTACTAGACAGCCACCCTGCTGTGACTGCCAAGTGCAGCCTTAACAGGGCTTGAGGCCTGGAAGCTGCTCCCGGAGGCCGATCGATGCTGGAGTTTGCAAAAGACAATCAAGAGTCAGAGCCGAAGGCAGCAGGAGAAGGGCCTGCTGGAGGGCTGGCCACTTGGGCATCCAGCCTGGGCTTGTCACCATCAGCACAGGTCATGCAATGCCCACACCTCCACAACCCATCCCAATACATAGGCCTCTGAGGACCCCATGCTCAGAACCTGGCATGCAAGTCACAGATGTGGGGACAGAGTGGGGACAACTCACTTGAGAGGGGCCTTCACTTCCCCCAGCCGGCAGCAGGGTCAGTTAGTGGCCGGCCACACCTCTGCCTCAGTGGCCCACCTGCCCCAAATATATCCCTCCACCACAAAGGGATCTCCCAGAGGTTGAGATTTAAATGGACACGAATGATGATAAACGCTGCTAACAGCACATCCATCTGCCTAGACACACGCACTGTGTGCTGCTCTGTTGGCTCCATGCCAGCCCCACCCCAGGTCTGGGTGGAGAGAGGAGTCACAGGTGAATTCCACCCAAAGAACACAGGTGTGTTACAAGTCCAGTCGCCCACAAATATTGCCCAACCCAATCCAGAGGGGAGCAAATAGCTTGGCAGGGTCCCCAAGGGATGTGGGTACACTCTCTACCCTCAGAAAGGGTCTCTGCCTATGAGAGGGCATTCCAAAAAGGCAGGAACCTTCTTCCTGGGGAGCCCTCAAACACCCAGATCCCCAAACCTTAACCCCAAATGTAGCCTTACAACACAAATCTGTCACTAAAGTAGTAGCCGGTTTCCACAGAGGGCCCCCCCACAGCCCCCATGAACAAAGCGCTACTGGGCCATGGGGACAATCCCCACAGCAAACAGCCAGACACACACCTGCTGTGCCCAGCACCCCTGAAAAAAAAGCCTCTAGCAGGAAGAGTGAGAGGCGCTTCTCACAGGCCCCCACTGACAGCAGGGGAGAGTCTGGGTCCGCGTAAGGCACCCCACTTCAGCAGAGATCGTTGACAAATTATGCATCCACTCTACCAAACACCTACACTGGGTTTTATATGAAAGAGTGTGTACATGACCTATCAGGTGAGCATCTCAATATCTCGCCCCACTCTGAGCCATCATGCCTCATTTTCAAGTTCCAGTGATGCTCCCTAAAGATGCACCATGCTGACCCCTGACGCACTCGGCCTCCGGCACACAGCCACGCCTTTGCACACGTAGAGCAGGCAGACCTGAGAGTGAGAAGCCCCAGATGATAGGCACTTTCCCTAAAGTGACACCAGCGAGAATGACATGACAGAGGAGGACTGTCCGTGGAGGTGGGCAGGCCCTTTTCAGGTGCTGCTGTTTGGCTGCCTGCACACGGGCACAGGTGCCTTCCCATCAGCACAGCTATAAGACAGCTCCTGCAATTCAGCCTCGGTTTCTCGAGAAGCTTCTGGGTCCTAAGAACTGAGCTAGGACCATGGGGCCACAGATGTAGGAGGCAGGCCCTCAGTAGGGGGCCAGACACTGGAACAGACCTGAGTGATGGGGTGACGGGCCGAGCACCAAGATGTTTATAATCACCCCCTAGTTCATGTTTTTTCTAATACCAAAACCAGGCAAACTCAATGCAGAAAACTTAGTAATCACAGAAAAGTGCAAAAGGCCACAAAACACAGTCCACAACAGCTGCCACTTCAAATATTCACAAGGCCTTCAAGTGCAAGAGGAATCCCAACTAGTGCGGGAGTGGAGCATCTGAGGCTCAATGTGATAAACCATTTGACGTTCAGAGCTCCCCTCTGTGGGACTGAGTACCCCGTCCCCGGAGGCATCCTAGTGGGGGCCTCTCTGAATACCATGGAAAATATTCCAAAATCAGGTGGAAGATGACCTCAACCTATAAGATCCCCTTCATTTGTGGGAAGGGATTGCGCCCCAGGCCAGCCGCACGCCCACCAGCCCGTGTCCCCACTCACCCACAGGCGTGTCCTCGCTGATCAGCAGGTATGTATCAAAGAAGTGGTTGGTGAAGAAGGGCAGCCGGTTCACCTGGCCTGGAAGTCAGAGGACAAGAGCATCAGCCAAGTACCCCCCATCAGCTTTACACACTCTATAAGGTGACACAGGGTGAGGGCTGCAGTGGGCACTGAGCCTGTGTCCATGGCCATGGTCAACTTCCCAGGACCCTGGAAGTCACTATCCTGCCTCAAGGCAAGTGAGGGACAATGCCAGTAGGTCGGCAGGCACCTGTCAGGTGTGTGGCGAGTGAGGCCGCCTGCCACACGTGCCTGCTGAGCATGGCCCACATGGAGCAAGCACATGACAGGGGCTCCCCAGGCAAAAGACAGGATTTAGAAGCCTCTGTATGAAAAAAATTAGTGTAAAATAGCTCATTGATCTTTTACATTGATTATATATTAAAACGATTATATTTTGGATATATTGGATCAAGTAAAATATATGATTAAAATGAATTTCACCTGTTTCTTTTTACTTTTCTGATTATCATTTTTTTTAAGACAGAGTCTCACTCTGTCACCCAGGCTGAAGAGCAGCAGTGTGATCACGGCTCACTGCAGGCCTGACCACGCAGACTAAAACAATTTTCCCACTGCGGCCTCCCAGTTAGCTGGGACCAGAGGCATGCCCCAGGCCAGGCCATTTTATTTTATCTTATTTTATTGTATAGATGCGTTGGGGAGGGTCTTACTATGTTGCCCAGGCTGGTCTCCAATTCCTGGGCTCAAGCAGTCCTCCTGCCTCGTCCTCCTAAAGTGCTGAGATTACAGGCGTGAGTCACCACACCTGGTCTCTTTTTACTATTCTACTGTGGCTCTTAGAACATTTAAAATCACATGTGGCTTGCATTGTCTTTCTATTGGGCAGCGTGGCTCTAGCAGAATATGAGCTCTGCAAGGACAGGGCTTGGTTGACGGCTGGAACCCCGGTGCCCAGAACAGGGCCTGACACTTAGATGGCCCACAGGATGATCTGGTATGTACAGGAATAGCCAGCTGATCCCACAGAATAATAACAATGATGATAACAGCTGCCATCTCAGGAACCCCTTCTCTGTGCCAGCTATTTAAACCACCTCACTCAATCCTGATGGCAAGGCAGGGGAAAATGAGAACTCCAGGGGATAAGTAACATGCCTTGCTTACACAGCTGGCAAGTGGCGCTGGCCATCCAGGAAGCCAGACCCCAAAGCTCGTGCTGTTAACCATGTGCTGCTCTGTGATGGCTTCAGAGGGGGCTGGGGCTGGAGGCGGTCAGGGTGATACCCACATGGGCTGGGGAGCTTAGCACCTATGAGAAGCCCCCACTCGAAGCTTCCCTGAGGCTGACTCCCCCTGTCCCCCCAGCTTCTCCTAGGGGCCTTCAGTTGGCAAGTGAGGGCACTTCCCCTTGGTCCCTCCCAACCAGGAGGCAGCTGGTTTAGCTGGAAGTGGGATTGTCATTGTGCAGCACCTGCCATCGGGGGGGCACCGGCTCAGCCCTCCAGGGGCCCTGAGCATGGGCATATGGGGCAGCTCTCTCTCCCTCCCTTTCTGCTGACCCGGGCTCCCTCAGAGGAGTGCCAGGCTCCCAGAGGGTGAGAAGGCTGGCATCTGGGTATGGCACTTCCTCCTCCAGCCCAAGATGCCTCCTAGTTGGGACCAGGCAGAGCTGGGAGACTCTGGCCTCTTTTCCTCCTCCCCACCTCGATGTACTCAGGCAGACAAGCTGATGCCATTTCTAGTCCCTCATTCTGCCCGCTCTCACTTCCTGGCCAGGACCGATGGCCCTTCTGCCTTCATTTGCCAAATTCCTATTCACCCTTCAAATCTCATTTCCATTGGCCCTTCTTCCAGGAAGCCCTCCCCGACCACCCCAAATACTCACATGCACCCATGAACACACCTCCCCACTCTCATGTCAGGAGCACAACAGCCTCAGATAGAGGCAGTGGTCAAGGGCCTCACCTTTTTTGAAACCCCCCTGTGCCTCTTTCTAGCCATATGACTGTCCTATGTCGCAGTTTACCCATGTGTAAAATAGTCATAACAATAGGACTTCATGGCTAACCTGAGGATTAAATGAGACGACATACACAAAGTGCTTAGCGCTGTGCCGCTGGCACACAGCAAGCACTCCATAAATGGTTGCCAGTATTAACATTGGTATTAATAAAGATGCCGCCTTTGCAGCCCACTGGAAGGCTTTTGATCCCTGCTGGGGGCCTTGGGCTCAGGATACAGGAGAGCAGGACGCAGCCCAGCCGAGGTAGATGAGTGCCCAGAGAACTCAATAGCTGGTTTGGGCTGGTGAGGCTAGGAAACCAGTGAGGAAAAATAAAATCACCTGCAGTGGCATCGTTCGTTTTTAAATTTTACTTTACAGGGCCTGCTGATAATCAGTGGCTGGGAGCTCTGCACGGGCAGCTAGGCAGACTCGGGGACGTGGGTGGCCTGCCACATAACAAGCAGTTCCCGTGTTCCCAGAGCAGGCCCACCACAGGCGGGGCAGACAGGTGACTTATTCTCAAAGCCACTGTTAAAGCGCAGTAGCTGTGTGCTCAGGAGCTTTGGGGCCTCCAGCGACGCGGGAATGTAAGTGGATGTGGAAGGGGAGGGGTGGGGGTGATTTCTTCGGGGGAAGGAGAATCCCAGCTTCCCAAGTGTAGGACCCCTTGCTCTGTCTCAGGCCCCACATGGCCCACGCCATTGTGTGTCGGTGGCTTGTGAGCACTGCCCTGAGCCCTCTCCCACCCTCTCCCACCCTCCCCGCCACCCCCACTGCCATTCCCCAACTAGAGCCTGCAAAGGTAGACCAGGCGGGCATGTGCCTGCTTTACTTAGTTCCAGCACCCTAAGGGGCCTGAGGGGAGAGGGGAGAGAAGGGCGCAGAGAGGGCACAGCGTTCCAGCTGCCTGCTGAATGACAAGAATTTCCCACACACAGGGGTAAACACAGGCTGGGTGGTGGCATGGAGGTGCCATCCAGGGGACCTGATCTGGGACTGAAGGGACGTCGGTGTGCTTGTATGGGGAAGGTCCCCACTGGATCACGGCGGCCCAAGCCAGGAAGCATGAACTTCTCTCTGAATTGCGGGGTGGGGGTTCCTCTGAGGGCATGAAGAACCCAGTCAAGTGGAGGGTCCAGATTCCAGCCAGGCCAGCCTGAGTCCACGCCTTGGCTGCCTCCCCAGACCTCGGGGCAGGGGTGGGGGCTGAAGGCGCAGTGGCTGTACTGAGATTCCGGCTGGAGAGAGCATCAGAGTCCCCCTGCCAGTCGTCCCTTGACAAGGAAGGCGCACTAGACAGGGAGTGCAGGGATAAATTCAAGGAGTCAGGGATTTTGCGTGCTCTGCCACTGCTGCTGGGGAGCTTAGGCAGATCCCTCTCCTTCTGCCTCGCCCTCTGCCCCATTTTCCAGCCTCAGGATGGGGACAAAAAGCTCTGCCCTGCGCTCCAGTCCTGCCTCCCAGCCACAGGTGTCCTGTGCACCTTGGTCACTGTTGGGGTGGCTGCAGCGTGGCCCACAGGAGCCCCAGGGGACAGGAGCCTGACATGGTGTCAGGTGGGGAAGCCAGGTGGCCTCATGGTCAGGCGCATGGGTCCCCACCCAGCGCCTGGGGACCGAAGGAGTGACCCAGCAGGATCCTCGCTGGCTGGTCAGTCTAGGATGGGATGGGGCAGGCCTGCCCAGGCCTTCGCTTCCTGCCTCCCCAACCAGCCCATGGATGAAGGAGAATTGCTAGAGTACATTGAGGCCAGAGGGGAGAAGGGCAGGAGGCTTGAAAGAGAGAAGACAGGCTGGCAAGGGGTTTTGACAGCCCTGAGCCCTACCCATCTCTGACTACCAGGGAGGGGAGGAGAGATCAGCTGGGGCGACGGGGTCAGGTGGAAGCAAAGTGGCGAGGGCAGTGTGGTCTGGTCTGGGGCACAAGTGAAGGGCTAGGTCGGGGCGGGTGTCTAGAGGGTGGCCTGAGAAGGTGATTCAGTCACTCACTCTCCCCCAGTCCCTAAAGTCAGCCACTGCCCCAGCAGGCCAAAGGAATAGCACTGGCTGCTTCAGATACGGACCAGGAAGAGGGGACTATGCTAAGCAATGAGGGAGAGAGGGACCCTTGTGCGTATGGCAAGCACATAGTCCACATGCAGGCCGACCACACGCGTTTTGGCATAGAATTGCTAGATGACCTTGGGCAACTTGCTTAGCTTCTCTGTGCCCCATTTTGCTCCCCTTAGAGAAAGATTACTTCTGATAATAAAGGAGCCAACGCTTAATAAGCACTTATTCTGTGCCAGTCAGTATTCTAAGTGCTTGATGTATAGACTAATCTATTTGATCATTTCGACGACCAGAGAAGGAAAGTCCTATTATTGTTCCCATTTTAAAGACAAGGAACTTAAAGCACAGCAAGGTTAAGACACTCGCCCAAGGGACCCCTTGGCTGAAGTGGGACTGGAAGACAGGAGGTCAGCTCTGACTGTACGCTCTGTTCTTGTTCTCACCCTGAATGCATGAAGCATCTTTCATCTGGAGAGCTCAAGGGGAGACTGCCATGTCTCACAGGGGAAGGCAGCTGAGGGCTTAGCACCTGCTATATTTCTACTGATGTATTTTTTTTTCTTTTTTCATTTTTTGAGACAGAGTCTCGCTCTGTCACCCAGGCTGGAGTGCAATGGCACGATCTCAGCTCACTGCAATCTCCGCCTCCTGGGTTCCAGCAATCCTTGTGCCTCAGCCTCCCAAGTAGCTAGGACTACAAGTGTGTACCACCACCATGCCCAGCTAATTTTTGTAATTTTTGTATTTTTATTAGAGTTGGGGTTGTGCCATGTTGGCCATGCTGGTCTTGAACTTCTGACCTCAAGCGATCCTCCCACCTCGGCCTCTCAAAGTGCTGGGATTACAGGCAAGAGCCACCGTGCCAGGCCAAGTGTATTTCTTTTTAACAGATGAAGAAAGTGAGTGGAACGGAATGGGGGAGGGGGGTGGGTCCCAGGTGGCAGAGTCCCCAGGGAGGCTGAAGAAAGTGTCCTGATTCCCACCGTCCAGTGAACATGGAGGTCAGGGCTGCTCTCAGGCACCCCTGATTAAAACCTCCCACGTGGGGCGGGGGGAGCAGGGTTGGAGGGGTGATATCCTGCCAGAAGCCCGCATGGAGGGTAAGAGACCCCTGCTTTGTACAGCCTTGGGCCAGTACTTCTCCAGGGTTCGGTGTCTCCTCTGTAAAATGTGCTGGGAGTTAAGAAAACGCCTGAGGCTGTCTTGCACTCTGAGAGTCTTTGAGACTGTGCTGTGCTCCTGGGTTGCCTGGATGGGAGTGAGCTCCCCACCACAGGGGGGATTCCAGTAGGGATCCCTCCAAACATGGAGGCAAGGAGAGGGGATCCTCGAGGGACACTCAGGCTGCAGGACGCTAGCAACACTCCAACAAGCACGAGGCTGCAGCGGCCTCCAGAGACTCCGCCTGGCTCCCTGCAGAGGGAGAAGGAGCTGGCCCCCCATAGGAATGTGTGTGCGTGTGTCACCAGGTACACGGTGCCGACGGCTCTTCTCTGGGGATGCCATGGCCCCCGGGGATGCCACGTCAGGAGTGCCTGCTCTCCTGGCCTGCCTTCAGTGCAGCCCAGGACTGCTTTGCTCCCCACCACCTGCTGTCCAGGGGCCAAGCGAGAAGCGAATGCCCAGGCCTCTTCTAGCCTCCTCCATGGGCTCTGGAGCTGGCACTCAGAGCGGGCTGCTGCAAGGCCAGGAAAGGAGGGCAGAGGGGAAGCCTCCCGGCTGCGATTCCTTTGCTCAGACTATGCCCTCCAGCAGGATGCCCTTCTTCCTGCTCACCTAGTTTAAAACTACTTCTTGGTCTTCACAGCCAGATCAAATGCTGACCCTTCTGGCTGGGTTTCTGCTGTCCCCTCAGGCCCAGTTCATCTTTTCTTCTGATGGACGTCCCTGGAGCCGCGCCCATCCTTCATTACCACTCTATTCACCCTGCAGTATAGGAAATCCTGCGTGTGTCTTTCTCCCCTGCCAGGCTCTGAACTTCGAGAATAAGTTATTTCCTCCATTCCCCCAGAGCTGGATGCAGTAGGTCACACACGGTGCAAATAGTAGGTGCTCAGAACACAGCCATGGAACTGAACAGAGCTGTGGCCAGTCCCTGCACCCCAGGAGGAGGACGGTTTGCGGTCACAGGTGCCTCCTTCCCTTAGAGCTCACGTATTTCTCAAGGCTCCTCCCATTCCCTCTTGTGTCCCAGGCTTTGGGGACAGCTGGTATTTTCAGCCCTGTGAGAGCTGCAGAAGGCAACCGAGGCCCAGAGAGAGAAGTAGGTGCCTCAGTCCCACAGTAAGGCAGTGTCTCCAGAGTCCCAGAGCACAAAGCTGAACCACCAGCCCCAACACCCTCCAGCCTGGCCTCCCGTGCAGAGGCTGCCTGTGGAGTAGACACAGGGAGGACTGGACTTACCCCAGCATCCAGAGATCAGCACCAAAAGCCAGGCCACGTGGCAGCTGGTAGCAACATGGCACCCCATGGCTCCTGGGGACACAAAGAAGGAGAAGAGGATGAGAAGTCTCCTGGGCAGCAGGGGGTCTGCTCCTCAGCCCCTCCCACCTCTGCAGCTCCAGAGACAACTGGGGCTTGGAAGGGAGGAGAAGGAATCAAGTCAGACGGAGGGTTTGGGAGCACATGGGAAAAAAGAGAGGGTCTGTATCATTTGGTTTTAACATTGTTCAATCCTGGGTATAGCACAGTGGCCTGTGAAACACTGGGGCTGGGGCCTATCGGGTCCTCTTTGCCCTCGTGGGGACTGGCTGTCCTGCAAGGGAACTCTGGGCAAAGAGTGACATATTCTAGGCTCAGTAGATGGAGGGAGGGGCTGCTGCCTTCAGCCTCCAGGACGACATCCCCCAAGAGTGACAGAGCCTGGTTATCCTGGGGACAGCATTGAGGAGATGGGCACTGCCTGGGAAGACAGAGGTCTAACAGGAGGCTTGACAAGTCCAACAAGCCCAAGCCCACCACCAGCGCCCAATGAGCATAGCTCTTCCTGTTTTTCATTTTTTATATTCACCATATTATCCCATAACCTTGTATATGAAGGGATGCAGCAGACCATGGTGTCCAAAGAGGCACAGAGAGGGGAGGTGACCTGCCCAGGACCTCACAGCAAGTCTGTGGAGGCTAAAGCTGAATTTTGAAGGGCTCAGAGCTAAGCTCTAGTGAGATCTGGGGCTCAGCTGACAGAGGTTCTGTAAGATCAGATCCCATTTCTAAGGGTGGCTGGGAGGGTAGACAGCTCTCTCCCACATGGCAGCAGCCCCCACTCTGGTCCCATTCCATCAGGGCCCTGGTCCTCCAGCGGCTCAGAAGCAGGCCTCCCTAGAGCCCAGCAGTGACACCAGGGGGACCACGCTCACCAACCAGGAATCCTAACCTCCTACAGAACTGTCTGCCTTGGTAGTGCAGGGCCGGACTCACACACATCAGCCTTCAGTGTGTACCTACTGTGCATCTGGCCTGGGGGGGTGTCCATCTCCCTGGCTCACAAAGTAGGGTTAGAGCCATTCGGCAATTTGTTCAGAGACCTCCAGCTAGAGACCAGCAGCAAGACCCAAGCTGGTGTACTATCTCTCTTGTCAATAAGTGACCAGGAAAGACACAGGGCAGTGAATGGAGCTGGAAGAAAGGACTTTTGGAGAGACTTCCACATCTCTGCCAACATATAGGGGTGAGGGATTAAGAAAGAGCTGAGAGCCCAGAGCCCTTAATTCTGGACTTGGAGGGGCCCCAATCCCTCTCAGCCCACATCCCCAGTGAACAATGACGTGACCCTACCAGATGGTTCCTGACCAACATAACATACAACAGTCCAGTCCACAGTCCCCTTTTGCTTTCCTTCTAATATTATAATTAAAATATCCTAATTACAAAGCATGCAATAGTCATTTGAAGAATAAAACATTCTTTTTCTTTCCTTCTTTTTTTCTTTCTTTTTTTTTCATTTTTCTTTTTTTTTTGGACAGAATCTCACTCTGTCACCCAGGCTGGAGTGCAGTGGGGTGATCTTGGCTCACTGCAACCTCCACCACCTGGATTCAAGTGATTCTCCTGCCTCAGCCTCGCGAGTAGCTGGGATTACAGGTGCGTGCCACCAAGCTTGGCTCATTTTTTTTGTATTTTTAGTAGAGACGGGGTTTCACCATGTTAGCCATGCTGGTCTCGAACTCCTGAACTCAAGTGATCCACCCGGCTCAGCCTCCCAAAGTGCTGGGATTACGGGTATGAGCCACCATGCACGACAAAACACAAAAGATTCTAAGACGTATTTGCATAATAAGGGGCAACTCTTCCCCTACACATCCTATTGAGTTTCTGAATATTAACAGCCTATCACAGGGGTTGCAAACTGAAATGCCTACAAGGCCAGCAGGGAATTTAGATGAGGGTGATGCTGGGTGGGTGGGGATGATGGCCAGTTGGAGGCCACATGCTCTCTATTGAAAAGTGGCAGCTGTTGATGTGTTTCAGCCAAGAGGGAATGTGGGCCCAGGGTGGCAGAGCCTCTGATTTTTCTCAATGAAAAACTAGAAATCAGGCTTTTCACATGAATTCAATTTTTAAATGTTGGCAAATAACTCAATTTGTAAGGAACACTTTGTGAGTCAAACATGACCATGGCCAGAGTGGGCAGGCAGGGCCTGGCATGCAGGGCCTGGCATGCATCCTACCAGGCCTTTCTCTGAACCCAAGAAATATGTTCCCATTACACACATGTATGGAGCCGTGAGGGTACTGTTTACTTTGAGAATAACGGAGTTACCCTCTACATACAAGCAACTTGCTTTTCACACATCAAGAAATTCCGCAGATGGCACTCCAGGCCAACATTGCTTAGAATTACCTCTTTCTATTTAGGAGATAATAATAGCTCATGGTATGGATGTTTCCTAATGGAGACTTCATCCCTTACCGATGGGCATTTGGATGTTTCCAGATTCCCGCCCCCGTGAGCAATGCCACCGCGAACATCTCTCTGTACATAATTGTGTTGGGATTTGGCTCTTCCGTTTGGTTCTCCAACCGTGGGAGTGCTGGGTCAATTAAATACAACCCGGAGTGTGTATGTGAACTTTTACTAGACGCTGCCATATTATCTTCTGGAAAAGGCTGTGGCAATTCGCAGTCCCGCCACCAGTATATGAGGGGGCCTATGTGCCCACCTGGAAGTGATCCCTCTTTTAAATGGCTGCCAATCGGACACATGAAAAATGGTATAGCATTGCTGCTTTAATTTGCATTTCCCTAACTACTAGCAAGGTTGAGCAAGATGCCTTTCTCTAAACGTTCAAACCACTTTCCATCTGTTATCTTGCGTTACCCTATCATATCCTGCAAAGAAGCTAGCCAGCAGCACTAGCATTATCCCTGATTTACAAGTGGAGAAACCGAGGCACTGGGCAATTAGGTGACAATCTGACATCTCACAGTGAGTGAGTATCTTCTACAGAAAAAACTCCAGCCCTCTGCCATTCCAAACCAGATGTCATGAGAATTAAACAACATCTGCTAAGAACATCATCCACAAATAGCTGAGGAGAGCACGCCATTCTGCTGGGTGTTGCAGGAAGTTTGCGGTGGAAGGAAGGGAGGAAATGAACACTTGTTAGGCAATCCCACAGGCCAAGGATTTTCACAGGTATTATTTTTACTCAAACTTCCAAAATAGCTCTATGAAGTAGGTCTTCTTGTCCCCATTTGATAGACGAGGACATTGAGGCTCAGAGAGGTCACTCTAGGATTGACCAGGTGTGCCTGAGTCAGAGTCTCCTGCTGTTTCCATCACACCATGCTGCTGCTCCCGTTTCCTGACTGTGTAAAAGGGGAAGACATGACCCCTCCCTCATGGAGCATAATATCCATCACACAAAAAACACAGGGTGAATATCTGCCAAGAGGTGAGCGCCTGCACACACATATGTGCATAATGCCTTTCGCTTTCCACAGTGCGAGCTCAGGCTCCAACACTGCCAGGCACACTGGGCCTCCAACCTCTCTTCTTAAGTGCCCTTCTCCTTTCCCCATCTGAGGCGATCAGACTGCCTCAGTGCCCAGATCCAACAGTCAGGGGTAGATGCACACAATCCTAATTCTGCAGGATTGGCAGGGACTGCCTCCAGAGCATCCGGAAGCAGGGACCATCTCAGCTCCATCCTGACTCTGCCTCCATCCTCCCCATAGGGCGAAGTGGCACCGACACTAGGTCAAGGGGACACAGGCTCCAAAGGGTAAAGCAAAGCAGCTGGGCCTGAAGGGCTCCACCCTGCTGCTGGGTTTTCCCTGAGGTCACAGATCTTCTTCCTCTGGCTCCTCTGGCTATGGGAGGAAAGCAAGGCCCAGAGAGAGCAGAGGCTGATGCCAGCAGGAAGAGACAGACTCCTAAGCCCTGACCTCCAGCCTCGGTGTGGTGAGCGACGCTGCTTTGCCTGCTGGCATTCCTCAGTAGCGGGGCCGCGGCGAGCAGCATGGGTCCCCAGGGAGAGCCTGACCTCACTCTGCTCTGTGCAATAGCTGCTTCCCCAGCCTCCTGGCCTCCTCACCTCCCATTCAGCATAGCCAAGTGGCTTCCTCCACCATCTTCAGGCCCACCCTTAGGATGGGGCCTGAGCTCCCACCAACCCTCATGTCTCCCCACTGGATCAGGAAACACAGACACACCCTTCTGTGCTGGGCTTCCTGCTTGGACCTGGGATAGGTGCCAGAGACCTGCTCCAGAGGTAGGGGCAGGGCCACAGCCAGCTGCCCCCAAATCTCTCAAGTGCTGGCTTAGAGCCCTCCTCCTAAGAAGACACACAGCCAGGCCCCAAAGCCCTCAGACTCCAATTCCCTACATCCTTCTTCATGCCAAACTTTGTGCCAGGCACAGTGGGGGACATAGGGCCATGAGAACATACAGCCGTGACTGGAAACATGTGCTAGGTTTCAAATAAGTGAAACAGACTGTCACTGCCCAGGGCCGTCAGGAGAGAGAAAATCCCAGGGCTCCTAGCTTTCAGGGCTCAAGCTATACACACGTCAGATTCATAATTCTAACATTTACTGAGTCTATATTCTATGCCAGTCATTGTGATATACAATGCACTCTACATGCTGGGGCTCAGAGAAGCTAAACAACTTGCTCAAGGTCACACAGCTAATAAGTGTCAAGTCTGGATTTGAACTCCATTCTGATGGCCATCATGACCAGGCTCCCAGCCTCAGCCCCAACCCTTGCTGAGCTCAGACATGTGACCCAGGGGAGGGTCCTGCAGAGGCGCCTGATAGGAAGTCTTTGGGCAAGACCCTGTGGCATCTACTCAGCGAGCCCAGTGAGAATTCCAGCATGCTCACAGCCAAGGTACGTTGGGCCAGCAGGAGGTAAGCTGCACATGCCAGGAAGAAGGCGGATGGCTAGGGTGGTGGTGGGTGGGCTCCGGTTTCATCTGCCCTCCCAGGCTGTTGGCAACTCACATGCATTGCCCCTAGAACCAGTAG